TTTAAAAAATTAAACCCAAAAAAAACTTTATAACACAATAAAAAAGAATCAGAGCTTCGGGAGCATTAATCCTATGCATATTCATTCTCTTTTTTTTTATTTTCGGTGTAAACGACTCTGTTTTTTCCACTTTTTCCATTTTTTTTACATAAAGTATGAGGTTGGCTTTCAATCCTAAAGAGTCATTTGTCTAGATATCTCTTCGTGGTACTTTACTTAAACAATCTAGCGTGGCTCAAGAGCATGTCTAAAATAAAGACACACGCTATAAACAGGAATGAATGCAATTATGTAATGATGATGATACATTCAACGTCATTCCATTATTTTGACAATCAAATTAATATTAAGATGTTAGTGTATAGACCGCACCTCTACTGAAATATAAAAGTGATCATAAATGAGGGAATGGGACATTTACATTCATCTCAATATATTAAGATTATTTTTAATTTTTGTTTACTTATAAATCAACAAGAGCAACGACTTAATAAAGGATCTTCACATTCAAAGAATTATGTTTATTTAATAAGTACTAAATGTTATTTTGATATCGTAATTTATTAGAAAATCTAAAAGTATCTTTGAACTTTTAAAGTTAAATTCTATCAGGAAATCATTCATTGTATTTCAGACCTTCATTTATAGACTAATTCACTGAACTTCTAAGCTTTCGTTTACATTATGATTGTATGATAAAGATTTAGAAATTAATGTAAAAGCTCAAAATAACTTTTTTCGAACAAATAAGTAATACCACATCAAAGCATGATCGCAAAAACGTGTATTTTTTCAAATTATATTAAAGCATTTATTTAAAAGCATCAACTTTATCAGATATTTTTGCAAAGAAATATTTTTATTCAAAAACTCTTGATGTTTGCAGATACATTTTATGCAATTGTGTCAAAACTCATTTGTTATAATAAAATTAAAGGGACTATAGATAAAGGTGTAATATAAATCGTATGCACTCAGTTATGCCTGTGTATTCATAGAGTGTAAATGAATTTTTTTTGCATTTAATTAATTAAGACATTTTACGAACATAATGCAAAAAGGTCCTAACTAGAAATTTTAAATGTATATTATTAATAATTCGATAATATTCGATGGCAAAAAGGCAACATGTTCTTGTTGAATGAGGGCAAAGTGTTAAACAAATTGCCCAAAATATATTTTAAATAGTACAGTTTTATTTAGTTTGATTATTAAATACGGAGGAAATTTTATTATTAACGTAAATGAATTATTCGTTGGTGTGTGAAATAGGTTACAGACACTTAAATGTTCTACTCTTACAACACAATATAAGAAATGAGAGGGACATTTAAAATGAACAATTCATATTTCATTGAGAGAACAAATCTGTAATTCAAATTGTCAAACATTATAGAAATTCAGAAACATTATTGATAATATTAGTAGTTCGGAATGTTATTTTTCTGTTATATATTATACTCCTTTAAAATCTAAAATCTTTTGATGATCAATATTTTCATAATAAATAATTTTTTCAACATTTCTATGCGCTCATTTAAAGCAAGCTTCTCAAACTTTAATGGCTACCTATCCCTACATAATCTCTCTCTATTACACACGTGCAACAGAAAGGCTTCTAAAAGCTGCTTAGCTAAAAGTCATAAGATATTGCGTGACTAGTGAGGCATATTTTCTTTATATGGAAGTCGTTGTACAGTGAAAATTATAATGAATAACGAATTAAAATTACAGTCACTTTGTATGCACAACTGTTTTGACATTTTATTGCGCTATTTGTGATATTATGATGTACCATTGAAGATTTATGAAATCTAATTGGTGTTAATCGCAGTTAATTTATATTAAATTATAAGAACAAATTAGAATAACTTTTATTTCTAATAAAATTTTAGCAAAAGTTCAATTGTAGCTGATTTTGTTTCTGAGTTGAATAACTATAATGCAACTTAGTTCACTGCTTAATTAAATGAACTTGTAAACGTCATCTGGAAAACAGGGTATTGAAAACGCCCGATACTGGCATGAAGGGATCATAGTATTTATTTGCTACAATTGGTCATCATCATTAGACTAAATGTCATGCGCATGAACTGTAGTTTAAATGTCTAATCAAGAGCAAAACCTCTTGTACATACATTAAGGGAGTTTAATTTAACGTTGCAAAAATGAGCAGCGTCATTGTGCGACGAAATATCGCATGCTATTCATGTCCCTTTTTCTAGACCAATGTCATTTCTAGATCTAAGATCGGATAAAATATAAAACTTTTTGTAATGATACATTAAGACTCATAAATTGAGGGATTCTACTTATACATGTACTCTTTTTTAATGAAATTTGCCCAAAACTTTACTACAACCTTTTTTATCTGCCCATTTTGTTACAATGGCAAACGTGTTTCTAATCGCAAATTTCATATTTGCTTCATTCCTCTGAATAAGAGTTTTTAAAAAGAAACATTAACAAATGAAATTATGTTTTAAAATTAAATATTGAAACATTCAGCATATAAAGTGCTATTCAAGATAATAACATAAAACGGTGATCTAAAGGTCTTTAGTATTTACAAAACTTACAATCTTAATCAATTGAAATATAGCCGATATTCAATTCAATGGAATTTTTAGAATTTAATAAATATTAATACTTAAAACACTTTTCAATTACAGAAAAATCGCATTTAAGTACGTTTGGCTTGAACCGACACAAAAAATCAAATTTTTAATTAAATACGACTTTGTAAAACAGCTCTGTTTGCAATGTTTTTTTTTTGTGAAAATATTTTGCTGTCAATTGAATTTTTCAACTGTGTCATAAAATAATTTTCCTCTGAATTCATTTCTCCTTGAAGAAGCTTTTCAGCGAATGGATTTTGTTCTAAAATAAGGCTTCTAAATAAGATACTAAATGCACTTCAATTTCTTTGAAGTTGATTTTGTTAACCATCCAATTTACATTCCTTTCATCTTTAAAGTATATTAAATGTCATGAATACGTTGATAATAAATTCAAAGAAAATCATGTTTGAATTTTATACTCTTTATATAAACCATAATAATTTCATTAGATTTCAGATTAAATCCAACCACAACATTTCAAAGAAGGGACATTTCGACATGATTAGTTAGCGACCTTTATATTCGAAAACGAATTACAGAATAAAGAGATGAATACAAATTTGAATCTAATTAGTCATGTCTCTTCTTGAATGAAACGAGTGGAAAGAGGAGATCATTTAATAGCTTTGAAAAACAAAATCAAAATCAAATGCAGGGTATAACTGAGTTGGTCTATTCACAAAAGGTGCAACATTTTTGTCCCGTATATATGTATATTAAAAACAAAAAGTGAAATAGTTTTAAAAAAAACAGTCACCCGAAATATAATATGAAAAACAGCAAGTGAATCAAACAGTTACTGATAATAGCAATTGACATCAAATGCATTTTAAGACGACGCAAAGGGAATAATTAATTTTACTCCCGGTAACATGTCATTGAATAAACTACACAGCAGAACCTATCATCATCTAAGATGAAGTAGGAGGATAAAAAGAATTGCCGAGGACGTTTGTTGTCTATTTAAAACAAGTTCATTTGCGAGAGATAAAATATGTTATATATCAACCACAAATTTTATAAGCTGTATGGTGTAAAGTTTTATTGTTATTTCGTTTGTCTCCTAAAAAAGCACTGTATGTTTCTGCGAAAATGTTCTCATCCTAACGTGCGCCTATAAATGAGTTAAAAAGAATGGGTATAGATATTTTACTTACATGAATGTAAATTCCGGAGGAGAAACAAACATTCTTATGAATGGATGCTTTGTAAAATCAGACCGGTAAATTTGAAAAATTCCACATTTCTTATTCAAGCAGTTTTGTGTATGTTTTTACAATGTTCATTCAAACAGATCAAGATTATTTTATTGTTAACTGTTTTAAACCTATTCTTGATCTTGTTTTCTTAAGCCTCATGCTATATATTTGACAGACCAGAAAGAAACCATCGGCAACAAACTTAAGAATTCTAAACAAATGAATGGCTAACTGTTAATTGGCTAACTCACCGCCGAAATTTCGATTTTGATTTCAAATTAAAAGTCCATATTAAAGAAATCTAATAAAAAATTGAAAAGACATATATTGTTCAATTTCATGAACATACTAACCTCATCGGTCTTTTAGCCAATATCAATATTCTTTCGTTACATGTCAAAGGCTTGTTTCGCAATAATTGCGACCTTATTTACGATATTGTTTTCTATGTAATCGAGATGCCATCTGTGGGGTATAGATATAAGCTTCGCGTTGTGTCCTGTTTCTATCTTTTTAATATCTCAATAATATATACAAGTTAAGCGGTAGTGACGTTGGTATAAACGTTGACGTCATCTTGATTCCCGCCGTCAATACGTCGTTGTTGTTCCCGCCTACACATAGCGTACGTCTTCCCGACATTCTCCCGGCCACGAAATGATTACGATGAAGAAATGATTTCTAATGGGTGCAGTTTCACAATAGGTCTCGAAGTGACAAGTCCATTACTCGTGCGTAAAATTTCTGCTCGTGTGAGGCCATCATTACCGTAAATTAACTGCTGGATTACGCCTAGTTTCCACTGCGTTCTTGTTGATTCATCATAAATCTGTACAACGTCGCCAACCTGAACTGTCTGAGTGTTGTTTCCTGTTGTTTTGTGGTACTGACGCAGTGACGTAAGATATTCGTGACGCCATCGTAAACGATAATGACTGATAAGTTGTGCCTGCATTCTTGCCCTTTTTGTTACGTCAGACATTGTAACATTCTGTGGTACTGGTGTATTGCCATCATATGGAAGGGATGTTATACGACGTCCATAAAGCAGGTGCGCCGGTGTTAATGGGTCCGGGTCTCCTATATCGGAAGTGACGTAAGTAAGCGGTCTGTCGTTCATTATACCCTCAATCTCTGTTACTATTGTCTGGAGGCTCTCGTTACTAATAAATGAACGACCTTAAACTTTCTTGATGGTGGTTTTTGTTAGTCCAATAAGTCGCTCCCACCAACCGCCAAACCATGGTGCTCGCTTAGGTATGAATCTCCATTCAGTACCATGGCTGTGTAGAGCGTCATTAACTGCCGTTGATCTCATGAGTTTTTGAATAGTATTTGCTGCTGCGTTAAATGTTGTTGCGTTGTCTGATATCATTATATGGGGTAGGGATTTTCGACTAAGTATATTGGTTAAGTCATTTAATTCCGGGGATGTTGATTCTAAACAATCGTTCAGACTAGGGGAATCTTTATTTTGGCGGCAACTACAGTCATATACTATTCGGATTGGGGTGGTGGCTGAATCTTTTTTCACACCGTGATGTGGGATGTAGTGAACTCTTTTATCTATATTGTCGTCTGTAACTCTCTCGATAAAGCCTCGATTTTCTTGTTCTGAAATAATTTGGCCATACTTCTGTAACATGTTCGTATCTTGTCGTAGGCGTCGGATTGTATTTTCCGTTCTTTTAAGAACAATGTTATAATTGTCAGGTAACACCGGATGATCACGTTTCCATGGTAACTGTGCTGAATAACGTCCGTCTTTGAATTCAATGCATTTTTCCTGATATGTTGCCAGGTAGTCGGAGGTAGTTTCATCTTCTTTTTCAGGCTGAATACCTAGAGACTCTAACTTCCAGAAACGTTCTAGGTCATGTGTATCTGGCTTAGATATTAATACATTTAATATGCAGCCTGTAGCGGTATCAGTAGAAGAAACCGGAAGAGGACCGGAAAGCAAGTATCCTATCTTGGACTGGACAGCTGTGGGACCATAACCACGGATCACTCTATTACTGACAATATCCCAGTACTTATCTGCACCAATCAGAAGTGATATATTGAAAGTGTCGTCATCTGTAACCGGATGCGCAAGTTTAAGCCCACGAAGATACGGAAGTGCTGTTGTGGCTTGTTGTACGTTTCTTAAGGGGACGGAAATAGTTGGGACAATCAGGACATCTATAGCTATCTTTTCTTTGGTATCAGTTAATAAATATACTGTTGCGGTATCAATATGACTTACTTTCTTTGAAGATGAACCAAATGCTGCAAGCTCTACGACTTCTGTTCCCGTTCTTCTGAGTTCGAGTCTTTCTGCAAGTTCCTTTGTTACAAATGACCTCTGTGCCCCTTCGTCAAATAAAATATTAACATCTGTACAAAGGTTACCAGATGCAACTCCAGATGTTACTTTCGCAACAGCGGTTTTCAACAAAACTTTAGGTCTAGAATGTGTAGTAGAATGTAGTATTGCGGACTGATCACTGGAACCGGAAATGATTTTGGAACCGGAAGTAGCTTGATCTCTTAAACCTGGAGTGTAACTTGGGGCTGTAGCATTCAAATTACTATGTGGGGTTAATGGCTGGGGATTACTGTCACAGATGCTAGTGTGGTGTTTTCGCTGACAAAAACGGCATCGATGGTTCGATTTACATGTAGCTACTTGGTGGCGTCCTAGACAATTAAAACATAACTTTTTCTCTTTAACAATTTTCTTACGTTCAACAGTATTTGTTACCTTCCTACAGTCATTTGCTAAGTGATGGTCGCCGCAAAAAGGACATCTCGGACGTTCCGCTCTCTTTTCATTTGTCGTCTGCTGTTTGCGTGCCCCATTCGGATGAAATCGTGTCCCCGTAAGGAATGAAGCGGTAGCGTTATGAACTTCACCTGTATGTAAAGATTGACCTGACTCCAGAATAGCGATCTCCTTTTTCAATGCTTGTCGTAGTTCCGGAAGTTGCCAGTTACTGTTTCCATGGTCACGAGTCATGTTGCGTTTAATTTCAGCAGGAAGTTTCTCTAATACCACAGGGACAAGTAAATTACCGTAAGAGTCTTGACCTTGACCAAGTGACTGCAATCCTCTAATATATGACTCCATTTTCTCTTGAAAATTTCGTAAACTATTAATGTCAGAGTAAGGACGGGGTAAATCTAATAAACACTGCATGTAAGCGTTTATAATCTTGTGTTCCTGTCCGAAACGTTCTCTCAGTAACGCAACTGCTTGTGTATAGTTTGAATGCGTTAACGGAAATCCCTGAATCACTCTAGCTGCATCGTCGTGGAGTAAAGATCTCAGATATGTGAACTTCTGTACGTCAGATAAAGATACGTTATTGTGCACACTTGACTCAAACGAATCCCAAAATGTCTGCCATTCTAAAATGTTGCCGGTAAATATAGGTAGCGTAAGTTTCGGCAGTTTGTGAAAATGAGAATACTGTCCGTTATGTATAGAAATGTCACTTACATGTCCATCGGGAGTACTGTTGGTCGTGTTACCGGAAGTGTTCTCGGAGTGATATGCGATGTTGGCACTGTTATTCATAGCGGCCCATCTAGCGGGGATCTACGGGATTGAGCAGCGGCGGTGGTATAAACATTACTGGAGGGTTTTCTCTGTTCTGCTCCAAGTTTCGGAATTCGAATCTTTAAATCTAGCATGTAATCTTCTGTTTCCACCATCTCAACTCGAAATCATCCTCGTCGGTTAGATTAATAATCCTCTCATTAAGCTCTTCAAGTGCTGCAACTTTAGACTGTAAATTATGAATATCGTCTGGAACTGAACGCAATCATCAGTAGAATCTTCTAACTTCTGTAAATGTCTGGAAATAACAGCCTTCTGAGCGTCTCTCTTCTTTTTTAGCTTATTAAGATCCATGTTTGTCTGTAATTTTCTCACTAGTTCGTCACGGCATCAAAATGTGGGGTATAGATAAAAGTTTCCCTTGGTCTGTTTCTTTTTTTTAATTAAATAATATTAAAGTAAAGGGGTGGCGTTGTATAAATTAGAGATTGGAAAGCGGGGCCCCCCTAATAGCGGACTTTCCCGACACCATCGTTATGAATGAATATTTTTTATGGCAAAAACCTTTTTGTTGGTTTTAGGGCCCCTTCCCGGTGGTCCTGGTTGGGGAAAAATTCATTAAATGTGAAATTTCTTTTAAATTTTTTATCCCCTATTTTTATTTTTTTTACATTTACGATATAAAACGAATTTTAAATTTTGATCAAAAACTAGTACTCTTTTTTGAAAAAAAAATTTTATTGCTTAAATGTTTCTTTCGTTGCCTTTATTGGGCTTTGAAAATCTAAACAATATAGATGTAAAAACATTAATAAATTTAAAATTTATATATAACTATCATAGCTTATATAAATTCTTATATGTATACTACTAATATACGTATGTCATTTGCTACATTGCGTCATGTAAACACACGCATGAATTGACTTTTCTTATCTAACAAATTCTACATTTTGAAACATTTCTACAAGCTATTTAGAATCAGCAAGAAAACTGTTCATTTACGCAGTTGACATTTCGCTAAATAAAATAAAGCTTACGGACAAATAACGGAAATGAATTAGCTTTCTTGGTTTGTTTATTTAGCATAGAAACTTAGTTTACTCTATTGCCTAAGAGTTAACTATCTAGCATTATCATCGATCTTTATTCTTATAATGTCATTATTTTTTTATTCAATTAGTTTTTATAATTAATTGTTTAATAAATTGTATGATAGGCAGATAATCATCATTCAATGAAGCAATTAAAATTACCCCTTGAATAGAATCAATTTTCATTTTATTTCCGGTAATTTTCATTTGCAAGCATACTTTGCTTTGGGATATAAACGTTTATAGAGTTCAAAACAAATAGATAGTTTAAAAAAGCATATTGTAGTTTGCAAAAAGCATAAAACACGTTAATAGACTATTTAACATGTGAATTTCACATTTCAAATTAATTGATATGTTTTATGGTAATTTACCTTTTGAGGCTTCCGAACCTAATGTGGATAGATTTGTAAATCCATAAAACATTTAGATATAAGAAGTCGAAGGGAGACTTTGATCCATTCATTGTTTTAGGGTGTCCTAAAGTTCCATTATAATCTATTTCTTATATCAAATTACGGGACAATGTTTGTACGTATACACAATTATATATTTCATGCATAATGAAGCTGAAAGTTGTATTTTTATCAAATCAGTATGTTAATTAAACTAAAATTGAATTATCCTAGCTGAGTTAAATAATTGTGATAAAGTGGAAGATTACGCAATCATTGTTTCATCAAAGTTATTTTAGAACAATTGTTTTGTAATAAAGTTCTATAACTAACCCTACGTTATTCATTCGTCTGCAAAGCAGCCGAGTCTTACTTGATTTTGAATAAGACGCTTGATTTACTGCGGAATGACACGATTTATTTTGCGATTCTTCAATACAAATACAAATATTGCCTTACATACAAAACATTCTCTTACATCAGCTTTACACTTCATGGACCAATTTTAATTATTATTTAATTATGATTATAATGTAAGGTTACTGTATACATGTAAATTATTTTCATATTTAATTAAACTAACAAATATGCAAAAATAAAAACGAGAAAACCTTTGGTGCAACAAAAAATGCCCATAAAATGGCACCATACATGTGGATATTAGAATTGAAACCATACTTATTGTTTCTTAAAAACGAATTCAAACAATCAAATACACCCATTTATTGTAAAGATGTAAATGGATACATTCAAACAAACATTTTCATCTTACGTTCGACCATACTGCACTGTGATTTTCTCTCGATTTTTATATTGATAGCCTTCAGGTTTTCATTCATTTACAATATTGTCCATTAAGTTAACAATAACATTAGTTTATATATTACAATCCATTTACATAGCAAAGCTGAAACATGAGAACACACAAACGTATCACCAACAGTATATCTATTCCCTAAAAGAAAGCTAATTGGTAATGTTATAAAGCAATCAAGTAAATTCAGTCAACCAAACACAACATTATGACAATTAATATATAATTATTCAATGTTTATTTTTGTTTTACTAAGATCTAATTCTTCTCAAAATAACTCAATTACAAATTCGAACTAATTAAAAGAACTCATTTATTTATTACTTTTTAAAATCCTTTCAACAGAAATCATAACTATGCTAAACTTTTTATAATTTATTGCGTAGCTTTCGATGTTTGATAAAACAGATGTATACGATTCTAATTTATACACTGATTTATTGCATACCTATTTTTAATTCTACACGATGAATTAAAATGATTATTGTTTTCTGTAACATATTAACATATCAACTGATATACTCGTATCAAAATTTCGCTGAAAAAAGTTTAAGAAAACTTAAATTATTCTATTTGATATAATGATTTAATCATAAATCAATCAATCAAATAAAAAGAACTGTACTGTACTGTACATATACGTACTGCAAGTAACATTAACGTAGATTAATAAGTAATATATAATTGTTATTTCCAAATAAAACTAACCAATTCATATCATCTCATCCGCATGTATCGACATGAAAAGACATTCATATTGCTATCTCTAGATAAAATTGACCGAATCGAATAATCTTTTCCGCAGATATTGATGTCAAAAGCAAAGCATGTTTTTGCTCATTTCTGTTCAATTATGTTAGGTATTAGTTTAATAGAAATGTGTCGAAGGCAAAGTGGGGTCTAATAAAGCGTCATTTAAAAACATAAAGTAAATGATTTGTTACCTAAAACATTGTAATATACGAGGGTTGATCAATATATTCGTGGACACACTCCATTAATTATTTTTTCGGGGGGGGGGGGAGGAAAATTTAATAATAACAGTTGACATTTATTCAATGATTTATCATTTTGATGTGTAAGTTTCAGATACTAAATCCGTATATTTTATCCAAAATGACAGTTTTTAGAAAAACATGTATAGCTGATTGCCGCAGCTCATTCGCAACTTACGTTACTTCGTGACGTCAGCGTTACATCTTCTCAAAAAACGCACCACCAACTTCTACACATCGTTCATGTCTGTGCACCCACGGACTGAAAATGTTCTTATAAAATGAAGTGTCAAATGAACGCAACACAGACATTGCCCTGGACTGTAAATCATGGAACCCGGTAAACTTGTGTCCCTTTAACTCTGCCTTCAATTTGGGAAACAAGGCAAAGTCGCAAGGGGCAAGATCATGAGAGTAAGACGGGTGTTCCATGACCTCGGCCCCTAGATGGATGGTGATGTTGGTCTAAGTACATTATAATCTATATAAAATTGAACAGCGTTTGCACTATGAAGTGGAATTTTTAAAGCACATACCTAAATACACAACAATTTGGAATTTATATCTAAATTTTTATGTTACAAGTTTGTAGTCAAGTACTCGAGCACTTACTGTTATACCGTGTACTCTGAATCAGTTACCTTCTCACAACATTATACAACATTATACAAATACGTGCTTGAACGTGCTAACTTATATGAACAATTCAAACAACTATGTCAAAAGCATTTTAATTTCCACTGTATCTCGAATACAACATATAAAATAATCATAACTGGTGCAGTAACAGTTTAAGACCTTCTAAATTTAATAGGAGTTAACCAGTTATTTCACTAAGATGACGAACTATTTTTCGATGCTTGCTGTAACGATTATATTTCAAGTACATAAATGCATATTTGAGAAATGATCTTAAAGCGCCTCGTAGTTTCTATATATAAAACAATTACATGTAACTTTTCTAATAATGTCTGCAAAGTACAAAAGCAATGGTTAACGTAGTGTAAAAGAGACGATAAAACGTTTTAAAATAGGCATTATTTTTCAATTTTCTTTTTCGGACACGCATATCTAAATACAGTTACATTTTCCTACTATATAAGAATATGAATGACGTCATTGTGAAACATACGTTTTAGGTATGGATGATAATTTGGTGCCCACACGATTATGTACGTGAGTATAACTATCAAACAATTAATACGAATCACGCCCTTACCAATATCCTTGTTTGAAGTTGACATGGATTGTTAAAAATGAAAATAATGTTTGCAGCATTCAAAGCTATACAGGCATTTAATATATTGTACGAATATTTATATCACTAAATCAACATCAAAATGCAGCATCAAGAATGAATCAGCTTATTTTAATGAATATAATTTAATGTAATTGTTTCAAAACACAAGGTCATTTTGAGTAAGGTAAAATATCTAAATAACCTAAAATCAATACTTTTCATTCTGTATTCTCAATCATATTGTTACATTTATTATTCTTTTATGTGTTTCTATAATTATTTTTCTACAATACCACGCAATAACAGTGAAATAATTCTTTCAAGGTTGAAATAATGCTCATGAAAAATAAGAATCTGACATGAGTCTTTTTAAGGTTAAGAACAAAGATTTTATCAAAGATTGGGATAAAGAACTGTTCATATAAAATTTTTTTTTACAAATGCTACGTAAAAAGGTCATGGAACATTCGTCATTTAAGC